TGGCTGCTGGCAGCTAGCACAGCAAAAGCCACTCTGCTGCATGTAACTTGCTCACAATGAAACAAGACAGGAAGAAGATCTGAGTTCCCTTCACGCATTTGAACTGGTAGCTTGATTTTCTTCATGTGCCAGCTTCAAAGCGGTTCAACTTAACCAAACTCAAAGATATTACTTCTACTTTATGTTGGTCTAAGCAGAAGAGAATTGGGGAATAGCTGCTGAAGCTCCAACAAAATAGAACATGCCTGTGAACGCCCTGAGGTACAGATTGGGACTGGCACTACATAGGCAAGTGGCAATTAAAACCATTTTATGGTTTTCCCTTCCTAGTGTAGAGTACAGTCCTTGAGAAAGGATACTACAAACCCAAGCTCATCCACTGCTGGCAACTTGCAGAAGTGGAGTAGATGCAACTGAGGATTCTAAACCGACAGTATTCAACTGGATTTTCAGTTAAGAGAGTCTCAGATCAAAACTTCCTCCCTGATTTTACAGGCACACATGAACTTGTACTTTCCAATCTCACCTTCTTTTCTCTACAAGGTCCTTCCCTCACCTGTTTGCTTGAAGAAGGGCCCTACCTGCTGCACCATAGCTATTGAGGTGAACATCTCCAAAGTCCCTGCTGATTGCACAGTTAATAGCACTCTGCCTCTCTGCCCCTTTAATTTCCCCCTTCTAGCAGATCTCTTATAATACCATCTATTTCCACTCTTTCTTTCTTTCTTTTTTTTTCTTTTTTTTTCCCCTCTGATGTTTCCATCAATTATTCCTGCTCTTCTATGGAGTGATGTGTAGTCAGAAAAAAACACAGCCATCTTGGTCTGGGTTGAGGACTTGATGACCTTAGACAAATGTCAATGGTTAACTCCTCCAAACTTAATACATTGTCCCCAGAAACAATACAGAGATAAGTTTCCAAAATACTGTCCCTTGTCCAGCAGCTTGCTGGACAAACAGACTGACCAAGTGGTTTTGACCATGAAAAAAGGCTGTTTCCTTTCTATTTCCCTATTGGATGGCTTCCTATCATCCCTTCTTACCACACCGACCACATACCCAGCTACTGCAACTCAACAGTGTTGGACCTGGAGGGGATGAATTTCTCAGCACTTTCAGAAACCTCTAAGCCTGCCAAAAAACCCGCAGGGTCACTTGCAGAGCTCCCAGGGATACCATGCTGCAATTACAGAGGAACACATTAAACTAGTTCAGATTTTTTTTCTTAACCCCTTTGCCATTTCTACTGTCTCCAGATTACCCTGGAAATCCTCAGCTCACAATTTCTTTTGATCCACAAATTCCCAGGCTTCTTGTTGGCAGATAGGAGGGAAAACACTATTCTCACAAGCATGGTGACTCTGAGGTCAGCATCCCCACTGAGTGTCCCAAGATGATGGAAAATAAACCCCTAACGTTATGTGTCCTTGGATCAGAACCCTTTTACACAGAACAGTGGGCTGCTGCTGCTGCCTGACATCT